GCCTTGAGCTGTTGATGGTGAGCCTGTCTTCCTCTTGTGAAGTTAGAGGGGGTCAGAAGGTACCACCTTCAGGCCCTTTTAGCATTCCAGGACAGATTTGTTACTTCTTCTGGTAGTCCAGGGTACTTTCAGTATTCTTCACCAACACCATGACTCAAAAGCATTAATTCTTCTTTGATCTTCCTTGCTCATTGTCCACCTTTCACATGCATATAATGCGATTGAAAATACCATGGCTTGGGTTAGGCATACCTTAGTCTTCAACAACAGTCTTCAAAGAGACATATTTGCTCTTCAGCATTTGAAGAGGTCTTTTGCAGCAGATTTGGCCAGTGCAATATGATGTCTGACTTCTTGACTGCTGCTTCCATTGGTGTTGATTGTGAAACCAAGTAATATGAAATCTTTGTCAACTTCAATCTTTTCTCCATTTATTGTGATGCTGCTTATTGGTCCAGTTATGAGGATTTTTGTTTTCTCTATGTTGAGGTGTAATCCATACTGCAGTCTGTAGTCTTTAATCTTCATCAATTAGTGCTTCAAGTCTTCTTCACTTTCAGCAAGCCAAGGTTGTGTCATCTACATATGGCAGGCTGTTAATGAGTCTTCCTCCAGTCCTGATGCCGTGCTCTTCTTCATAGAGTCCAGCTTCTTGGATTATTTGCTCAGCATACAGATTCAATAAGTATAGTGAAAGGATGCAACCCTGATGCACACTATTCCTGATTTTAAACCATGCAGTATCCCTTTGTTCTGTTCTAACGACAGCCCCCTGGTCTATGTACAGGTTCCTCATGAGCGTTATTAAGTGCTCGGGAATTCCCATTCTTGACAATGTTATCCATAATTTGTTATGATCCACACAGTTGAGTGCTTTTGCATAGTCAATAAAACACAAGTAAACATCTTTCAGGTATTCTTTGCTTTCAGCTAGATCCATCTGACAGCAGCAATGATATCCCTCATTCCACGTCCTCTTCTGAATCCAGCTTGCATTTCTGGAAGTTCCCTGTCAATATACTGCTGCAACTGATTTTGAATATATACTTAGAAAGACTTAAAAGGAAGCTAGAAGAAAATGTTAACAGTACTTACTTCAGAGGCAGAGGGTGACAGGTGGGGCAACAATAAAGACATCTTACCTTTTCATCTTTGTGCTTAGTATGACTGGATTTTTACAATGAGTGACCTCATGTATTATTTGCATTCAAATATTTAAAAAGTGAAAAACAAATAATACTGCTGGAAAAGACCAAAGCTTGCAATAAATTTTTACAATAATGAAAACTAATACATTTAGCTCTTATCTTGGCCTAGAGTTAGGACCAAAATGCTGAGAGTCCATGGAGCTGATTTACCAGATTAGCTGCTGGCCACACAGATAAAGTAAAGTGAGAGGAAACCATATTATGCTATCCTTATTTCAGCTCCACTAGACCGCAGAGGGCATATTTGGCAGTTAGGATTTTTTGAGAAGCCCTGGAAAGGGGGAAGTTAATCATTTATTATTAGAAAGAAAAAATGAAGAGGACAAAGACGGGTACTTTGAAATGAATTGGGACAATGTTCAAAGTTCAGAGTTATTAGGAATTCATAGAGGTGCTTCCCCAGATCTTGGATCCTAGAATTCTTTCTTTTTCAGAGTGTGAGGAAGCAGTGGTGTTTTGACAAGCTCTCAGGTGAGTAGACTTTCAGTACCATTATGTTCACAGGTGGGGCTTCCATTGAGGGCTATTTCCAGACTGAAGAAAAACATCTCTGCTATCTTAAATGGAGCAGAAGTTCCCACTCAGAAATCAATGATCTCCACTTTGTTTTGGGAAGAAAGAGAAAAGTTTTAGAAAGAAAGAAAAATATTGTTCTATCTCCCTGCCCCACATTCATATTTCAGCCTTTCATTTTGACTTTTTTTCGTAACATGACTTGGAAAAAGTACTTCATTTTCAGAAATGGTAAAATATTAAGTAGAAAATACAGGATTATTGTCCATTTTAATTAGCTAATTAATTTATTAAAGTCCTATTTACATATTACTGAAAATATAATTTTCATGTAACCTGTTAAAATCTTATTGTATCTGTTATTCAGTGGAAATAGTTTTGAGTAGGGAAGTATTTGAGTAACACACACTTATGCAACGTAAGCACTTTGTTGTTTTTAGTTGTCAAGTTGGTTCTGACTCACAGCGATCTCTTGTGTGCAGAGGAGGACTGCTCCATAGGGTTTTCAAGGCTTTGCCCTTTAAGAAGCTGATCACTACGTCTGTCTTCCAAGGCACTTTTAGGTGGGTTTGAACTACCAACCTTTAAGGTAATAGTTCAGTTCTTAACCATTTGCACCACCAAGGGACTTTGCCTAGTACTAAAATACAATCATTGATCTAGATGTTAAAGAAATAATATTGACATATAAAAATAAATCTGAAATTAACGAAAAGTTAAACCTTTTAAAAGGTTGTTTTCCATTTGAATGCGGGGTTGTGCCTCATCTTCTGGTGTCTATCACATGGTAGCTGTTTACTGAACTGAACAATTGGTTTGAGAGTTAGGAGGTAGAAGTTCTGGTCTTGGCACTGCCATCCATTGCTGTGTGACCTTAAGTATTCCCATGGGTTCTTGGAGTATTGTAAGGAGATAGATATGATGTATTTCTGCTGTTAATCATTGGACTTGGATCTTCTCAGGAGACAATGTTTTAGTTCCTATTGACTTCTCATTCACAGCAAGTTTCTCTTTTTGGCCCCTCCTTATCCTATATATAAAGAAGCTCTGGTGGTGTCATGGTTAAGGCATTTGGTTGCTAACCAAAATATTGGTGCTTTGAACCCACCAGCTACTCCACAGAAGAAAGATAAAGCATCTGCTTCCGTAAAGATTTACAGCCTTAGAATGGGGGTTGCCATGAGTCAGAATTGACTCAAGGGCAGTGGGTTTGGTTCGATTGGTATCCTATATGTATTTATTTCTACCTTTGACACCCTTCTCTTAAAAATCATACCAATATAATGTTGTTGTTGTTGTTATGTGCTGTTGAGTCAGACCTGATTCATAGGGACCCCTCCTTGGGTTTCTGAGGCAGTATCACTACAAAAGTAGATTTCCCATATAAAGCAAAACACAAAAAAAGTAGTCTTGCACTTCCCTTCAACTATTAAACTTATTGAACAAGTTGTCTATACTTGAATGTTTAAGTCCCTGTGTAGCATAAATAGTTAAGCATTTTATTGTTTGCTGAAAAGTTGACAGCCCAAGCACACCCAGAGGTGCTTCAGGAGAAGACTAGGTGCTTACAAAAGCCTAGAAAAGCCTACCAGACTGTTCTACTCTACACATACTGGGTTGCCAGGAGTCAGACTCGACTTGATGGCAACCAACAACAACAGCAACAATTCATTCCTCAACTCATTTCCAACCATTAAAAAAACCCCAAACCCCAACATATTGCTGTTGCATTCATTCCCACTCATGGCCACCCCATGTATTACAGAATAGAACTGAAGACCATAGTGTTTTCTTATAATTTTCACGGGAGCAGATCTTGAGGCTTTTCTTTTGAGGCACCCCAGTGTGTGTTCAAACCACCAAGCTTTTGTCTAGTAGTCAAGAACAAACTGTTTGCACCACCCAGGGATCTATATTTTCCAGGGAAAATTCCTTTACTTTAGGTGGTCATGTATTTGATACCTTAGGAAATTCTTGTCAAACTGACAAGTAAACTGTAATTGGCTGGTTGCTTCTAATTTTACAGTACATCTTTGGTGCTGTGAAAAGCATGTGAAACTGTCACTACATATTAGTAAGGAAACACAAGTAAGCCCATGTTTACCTTAGTTACTGGGAACACTGGCCTTGTCATTGTTGTTGTTATGTGCTGTCGAGTTAGTTCCCACTCATAGCAACCCTGTCTGCAATAATCTAAAACAATGTGCAGTCCTGCACCACCCCCACAATGCATGCTCTTTGAAAAGAGGGTTTGAGTCCTTAGGGAGGTTCTGTGAGGTTGGGAGAGAGGCAGATGCCAGCCATATCTGTGCTTACCTTGCCTATTGGGTAATCTGCCCCTGATTTTACTGAACAAAGTGTGGAAAAAAAAAAAGGAAGATATCAGGACTTCAAACCTGAATCTCAAGCATCAATAAATGAACTAAAAATTTCTATGTGTGCCTTGAAAGAAAATCTTATGTTCTACAGCCACCTGAGATTGGTGAACATCAAACCCAGAGTCTCATTCTTCCAGTGTCTAAATTACAATGGAAATCAAATTCCTAAACTTACAGGGTGTCTGCTCTTAAAGTGAAGGCATTGATTGAAATGGAATGGGATCCTGAAAATATGAATGGAGGATATACAGGCAGATCTTGATGAAGTTAGCATTGTTGCACCTTCAAATTATGCTGAGTCCTTTTTGCCAATATGAGCAGCTCTTCCACCTTTGACTAAGGAGGTGAATCCAGCTTAGCTTGAAGAATTTGTAATGGTCTCCCCAGAGGTAGTGGCCTTGTGAGATAGTACTGATTCCCCTCAGTCCCACCCCACTACCCATCTTTGCTTCTAGACCCATAACTAGACTCAAGTTGCAGTAGGCCTCAAAAGGTTAGGTATAAATTTGACCTCAGCAGAGGAAGATATTAATTAAGTAGACTAGATGACCCATTCTGTAAGGGGAGATTATGTTATCTTTGGATCTTCAGACAGTATTCATGAAAATACTTGTCTGCTGCTCACTCAATCCTGGTTCATTACTACTATAAATTTTATCTGTTAGCTTTATGTCTTTTAGTAATCTGTTGAGAGCTCTCAGATGTCTCGTACCAGAAAATCACAGCATGATATTTGCTAAGTAATTGGAAAGTTAGGTGTGAATCCCCAGCAGCTGGAGTCCTGGTCTGTTTATTTTCATTAACCTTATAACCACCTTATTTCATTTCATTTATTTCTTTGTGTTTCGAGATTTCACTGAAGACATTCCTGAAGAATCATCCAAGGTACCACACTGTCACAATGATTCAGCTGACAGCTACTCCTCCAAGTGCACTTGTTGATGAGCCAGTACATATCCGAGCTACAGGCCTGTGTCCTTCTCAGATGGTAGTTTTTGTAGCATCACTGAAAGATGAAAAGGGAAACATGTTCCATTCTCAAGCCTGCTATCAAGCCAATGAAGATGGCGAGGTGGATCTAGAGCATGCTGCTGCACTTGGAGGTGACTATGTTGGAGTCCATCCCATGGGTCTCTTCTGGTCCATGAAATCTGAGAAGATATTAGTTAGACTGATAAAAAGAGATGTGATGAATAGCCCCTTCCAGGTCCAGTTGAAACTTTATGACTTAGATGTCCCATCAGTCAGACTAATTGAGTCTACTCCAGTGGCCAGCCTTACTGTGGAGAGGTGGTATGTGGCACCTGGTGTCACACGGACTGAAGTCCGTGAAGGTCGCATTCGGGGAACCCTCTTTCTCCCTCCAGGTGGGTAGAATGACTTTAGTTATTGGCATCTTTATTTTCCCTCTTTTGAATGCCTTATTCTCCTAGAAGTTTAACTTCTATGTGGATAATACATAGACTACTTCACTGGTGACTTAGAATAAGGGTTATCTTTGGGTGAAAACAAGAAGGCAGCAATATCTCATTCCAACTCAAGTTTCATCACAACAATTCTACAGCTTGTCTAAGGATAAGACTACGTATTGTTTACGGAGTCCTTGAATTTGAACTTTGCATGTTGTTATGTTGTTGTTATTTGCCGTCGAGTCGGCCCCGACTCATAGCGACCCCTCCTTGGGTTTCCGAGGCAGTATCACTAC